GAGAGGGGAGGAAGATCGATTTAGGGAAGAATAAGAGGGAGGAATAATTTGGAGATAGGAGGAGGAAGAGAGAGAGAGGGAAGGGGGAGGAGGAGGAAGAGAGGAAGGGGAGGAGGAGGAAGGAGAAGGGAGGAAGAGAAGGGGAAAGGAGGAGGAAGAAGGAAGGGGGAGGAGGAGGAAGAGAGGAAGGGGAGGAGGAGGAAGAGAGGAAGGGGAGAGGAGGAGGAAGAGAGGAAGGGGAGGAGAGGAGGAGAGGAAGAAGAGAAGAAGGAAGGGGAGGAGGAGGAAGAGAGGAGAGGGGGAGGAGGAGGAAAGAGAGGAAAGGGAGGAGGAGGAAGAGGAAAGGAGGAGGAGGAAGAGAGGGAAGGGGAGGAAGAGGAAGGGGAGGGAGGAGGAAGAGAGGAGGGGAGGAGGAGGAAGAAGGGGAGGAGGAGGGAAAGGAAGGGAGGAGGAGGAGAAGAGGGGAAGGAGGAGGAGGAAGAGAGGAAGGGGAGGAGGAGGAAGAGAGGAAGGGAGGAGGAGGAAGAGAGAAGGGGAGGAGGAGGAAGAAGGAAGAAGGGGGAGGAGGAGGAAGGGAGGAGGAGGAAGAGAGGGGAGGAGGAGGAAGAGAGAGGAAGGGGAGGAGGAGAAGAGAGGAAGGGGGAGGAGGAGGAAGAGAGGAAGGGGAGGAGGAGGAAGAGAGGAAGGGGAGGAGGAGGAAGAGAGGAAGGGGAGGGAAAAGAGAGGAAGGGGGAGGAGGAGGAAGAGAGGAAGGGAGGAAGGAGGAAGAGGAGGGAGGAGGAGGGAAGAGAGGAAGGGGAGGAGGAGGAAAGGGAAGGGGAGGAGGAGGAGAGAAGGGAAGGGGAGGAGGAGGAAGAGAGGAAGGGGAGGAGGAAGAGGAAGGAGAGTAGGAGGAAGAAGGGGAGGAGGAGGAGGAGGAAGAGGGAAGGGGAAGATGGTTGGATTAAGGTCAACCATTTTAACACAATATAAATATTTCTCACTCTTCTATATCGTCAACATTGATATTTTTACTTACTGTTTATCTATATATTGTCTATTCCTGTCTTACTCCTGTCTTATTCCCTGTCTTATTCCTGTCTTATTCTGTCTATTCCACCTGTCTTATTCCTGTCTTATTCTGTCTTATTCCTGTCTTACTCTGTCATTCCTGTCTTATTCCTGTCTTTTCTGTCTATTCCCTGTCTTACTCCTGTGTTATTCTGTCTTATTCCTGTCTTACTCCTGTCTTACTCTGTCTTATTCTTTTTCCTGTCCTACTCCTGTCTTATTCGTCCTTTCCTGTCTTATTCCTGTCTTATTCCTGTCTTACTCCTGTCTTATTCCGTCCTTCTCTCCTCTCTTTGTCTTATTCCTGTCTTATTCCTGTCTTATTCTGTCTTACTCCTGTCTTATTCCTGTCTTATTCCTGTCTTATTCTGTCTTATTCTGTCTTATTCCTGGCAGTGAGGGAGAGTGGCAGGGGGAAGAGTGGCAGGGGAGGGAGAGTAGGGGAGGGGGAGAGTGGCGGGGGAGAGTGGGGGGGGGAGAGTGGCCGGGGAGGGAGAGTGACTGGGAGGGAGTGACTGGGAGGGAGAGTGACTGGGGAGGGAGAGAGTGACCGGGGAGGGAGGAGGGAGAAGTGACCGGGGAGGAGAGTGGCTGGGGAGGGAGAGTGGCAGGGGAGAATGACAGGGGAGGGAGAGTGGCAGTAGGGAGGGAGTAACTGGGGAGGGAGAGTGACTGAGGAAGTGACAGGGGAGAGAGTGACCAGGAGGGAGCGGGAGGGAGAGTAGGGAGAAGACAGGGGAGGGAGAGTGGCAGTAGGGAGGGAAGCTGGGAGGGAGAGTGACCGGGGAGGAAGAGGACCGGGGAGGGAGAGTGGCAGGGGAGGGAGGCAGGGGGAGAATGACAGGGAAGGAGAGTGGCAGTAGGGAGGGGTAGCTGGGGAGGAGAGTGACCGGGGAGGGAGAGTGACCGGGGAGAGTGACCGGGAGGGAGAGTGGCAGGGGAATGACAGGGGAGGGAGAGTGGGGGTGGGAGGTGACTGGGGAGGGAGAGCTGGGGAGGGAGTGGCAGGGGGTGGGAAGTGACTGGGGAAGGAGAGTGCGAAGGTGAGGGAGAGTGGCTGGGGAGGGAGAGGCCGGGGAGGGACAGTGACTGGGGAGTGGCTGGGGATGGCTGGGTAGGGAGAGTGACCGGGGAGGAGAGTGACTGGGTGGGGGAGAGTGACCGGGGAGGGAGAGTGGCAGGGGTGAGGGAGAGTGACTGGGAGGGAGTGACCGGGGAGAGGGACAGTGACTGGGGAGGGAGGCTGGGGAGGGAGTGGCAGGGTGGAGTGACTGGGGAAGGGGAGAGTGACTGGGGAGGGAGAGTGGCAGTGGGGAGGGAGAGTGACTGGGGAGGGGAAGTGACTGGGGGGAGAGTGGCAGTAGGGAGGAGAGTGACTGGGGAGAGAGCTGGGGAGGGAGGGAGGAGAGTGGCAGTGGGAGGGAAGTGGCTGGGGAGGGAGAGTGACCAGGGAGAGGAAGTGACTGGGGAGGGAGAGTGGCAGTAGGGAGAGTGACTGGGAGGGAGAGTGACCGGGGAGAGTGACTGGGGAGGGAGAGTGGCAGTAGGGAGGGAGAGTGACTGAGGGAGGTATGGGGAGGAGAGTAGTAGGGAGGGAGAGTGGCTGGGGAGGGAGAGTGACTGGGAGGAGAGTGGCAGTAGGGAGGAAGTGACTGGGGAGGGAGAGTGACTGGGGAGAGTGGCAGTAGGGAGAGAGTGACCGGGGAGGAAGTGACTGGGAGGGAGAGTGGCAGTAGGGAGGGAGTGACTGGGGAGGGAGAGTGTGTCGACCCAAGATAATCGACCCGTGTTGCTTCCCTCCGCCAGGCGTCAGTGGCTGTGCGCTCTCATTATTGCTGCTGACTCCCTGCTGACTTCCCTCCTGCCTACTGACACTCTGTTGCTGACTCCTTCTGCTGACTTCCTTCTGTTATATTCGCTTTGTGTCCTGTATTCTCTCTCTCTCTTCTCTCTCTCTCTCTCTCTCTCTCTCTCTCTCTCTCTCTCTCTCTTTCTTTCATGCCAGTCGTGTCTTTCCTTGTATAATGCCACCGTTTTTCGTCCAGCACACACACACACACACACACACACACACACACACACACACACACACACACACACACACACACACACCACACTCAACTCATCTATTTTTGCTTCTTAAATGTAGGGCAACAGGCTGGCACCGTCACTCACTGTCACTCACCAGAGATGTGCGTCCCCGTTCGTCACTCAAGCAGACTTACAGGCACCCCAGCTTATTTCACATGGTTAGGCACCCTATCTTATTTTCACCCGATGATTTGGCACCCCAGCTTATTTCAAATGGTTCGGCACCCCAGCTTGATTTCACCTGATGATTAGACACCCCAGCTTATTTTCACCTAATGATTAAACAATAATAACTACAACCATCTGCTAGAGTTTGGGTATTTATCAGGTGAAATAAACTGGGGGCTAATCTTGAGGTGAAAAGCTGAGAGCTAATTTGAAATAAGCTGGGGCTAATCTTGAGGTGATATTTTTAGAGCTGAAATACTGCCTCGTTATGTAGAGCTCTTGAGTGTGTTGATAGGCTAGAGGGGTGTGTGGGGGAAGAGGGGTGTGTGGGGGGTGAAAGGGTGTGTGAGAGGTGGAAGAGGGTGTGGAGGGTTATACAAGGCGTCTTTGAGGGGGGGGGGGCAGACCAGACCCCCTCACAGCACGGAGTCAGGTCTCCCCGTGGTCTCGCCAGTTCTCAACCTGCGTCTCTTCGGCACACCTCGGCTCAAACTTTGTGGTTGGTGTTGATGTTCGTGTGCTGCGTCATTGGTTTTCCCGCCAAAAGTGATGAGAATTGGCGGGAATTTACACGTGGCGACAATAACATAAACAAAGTCCAAATTTGGCGGGAATTTACACGTGGCCTGAAGGCTATGCTTTGCTTTCTCTCGTTATACTTGTAGGTGTATTCTCGTTATACTTGTAGGTATACTTTCTCTCGTTATACTTGTATGTACTTTCTCTCGTTATACTTGTATGTACTTTCTCTCGTTATACTTGTAGGTACTTTCTCTCGTTATACTTGTAGGTACTTTCTCTCGTTATACTTGTAGGTACTTTCTCTCGTTATACTTGTAGGTACTTTCTCTCGTTATACTTGTAGGTACTTTCTCTCGTTACTTGAGTTAGGAGACGAGGCCGCTGTACCTGTAAGACTGTACCTCCGCCTCCTCCTCCTGTACCTGCCTCCTGTACCCTGCACCTCCTTCTCCTCCTCCTCGTGTACCCTCTCCTCCTGCCACCCTCCTCTCCCTCTTCCTGCACCTCCTCCCCCTTTTCCTGCACCTCCTCCCCCTCCTCCTGCACCTCCTCCTCCGACGGCGGTCTTGTAGACACTGTATCGATGTTTGTGTTATTCATGAATCAATCTCACGCCGTCAGCCGTCAGCCGCCGTCAGCCGCCACCAGTACAGCCACGTCCCTGCCACTGTTGCCTTACATCTTCCAGTCAATGTGTGTGTGTGTGTGTGTGTGTGTGTGTGTGTAACCTCATCATTGACGTTACGATACAAATCTGCACCACACATTTTGCCAAGAGGTTGTTGAGTCAGATTTTGTCCAGGTTCTCAAGTTAGATTTTGTCTGTTTTCGTCAGATTTTGTCCAGGTTATTAAGTCATTATTCGTATCATAGAATCAGATTTGGTAGGATTGTTGAGTCAGATTTTTGTCCAGATTTTGAAGTTCGTTGTATGGTAGTTGTGTGGTAGTCATGGGTGGCCAGGTGTGTGTTGTGTGGTCAGGTGTGTGAGCATCGGGACATGGTGACACTTGGGACATCACCTTAGAGTCAGTCTTAACAGATGTGTGTGTTTACTTTATAATAATGTGTTAATTGTTATAATGATGATGATGATTATAATTGATATACTGTATACAATGGAGAAATATGACCATAATTTGTATAATGTCTCCTCTTATCTGTTTCAGGGAATATAAAGCTATTTACTCATAGTGATAATTTGGTTATAGTGTTGTGGAAAATGTTGTGAGGCAGGTGGAGGTATGGTGAGGTAGTAGTGGTGGTGGTGTTATAGTGTGATCACCACCATGGTACCTGCCGACGCTGGTGATGATGACGGCCTGTACCAGCCGCCGCGTCCACCACTGCCGGCCCCGCGCCTTCACCCTCGACCTGTTCTTTCTGCAGCCCCGCCAAGACCGACCTTGTCCCCGCCCCCCTCCCTCACCCGCCTCGCCCAACAGCAGCAGCACCACCAGCAGCAGCAGCAACAGCAGCAGCACCAGCAGCAGCAGCAGCAGCAGCAGCAGCACCACCAGCAGCAGCAGCAGCAATTGCAACAACAACAGCAGCAACAGCAGCAGCAGCAGGCACAGGTGACCAGCGGGTCCCAGCCACCGTCGCAGGGCGTCGGCGGCTTGGGCTCTGTCTCCTCTGTGTTAGCTTGTGCCCCTCAGCCCCTGCCAGGCCTCGCCCAGGGTCCCGTGCCTCACTTCCTGACGGCGACGCCCCTGGTGGGTCTGGCTCCCCGGCCCTCAGCCCCAGCCCCTGTCTACCGCTACCCACCTTTCCAACCTGTTCCTCAGTACCGGCCTCCTCCCAACCCCCGGGTGTGCTGCCGGGCTACCGCCCTCAGTGTCCGGCCCTGACGAACTTCCTCCCCCCTCATTCCTGCCCTCCCTGGCGCTGCGCTCCCCCCTGGGGGGTACAGGAAGCCTCTCCTGCCCTACCAGCCTCAGCGAGCAGGCTGCTGCTGAGCCGACCCCTATAACGGTGCTCACCTCGGCAGGGTACCTGCCCCGAAGTGTGCCCGGGCCTGGCTGCTGGTCCCTGCCCCGTGATCCACACGGAACTGGTACTGATATGGCAGGGGGAGTGAGCCACGAGCGGGGTGCCTCAGCCCCGGCGGCCATGGTGGGCGGCCATGGGGAGGAACTCAAGACTCGATCACTGCCCACACGGTGCCTGCACGGTGCTCGGCCCCCCCTCATAGCCCGCCGCAACCTGGTTCTCTCTGACGGTGAGGGAGGCGGCCCAGGGTCCTCCTCGCTCCTGTGTGAGGAGGACGGCTTCTACTTTAACCAGCCGCTACTCGAGGAACATGAGGAGGACCTCTACGGGTCCTCGGAGGACCTGTCATCTGGTCCCTCCATCCTGGAAAAGTTAATGGTGTGGGCCTACTACAACGCCGAGGGCGAGCCCCAGGAACCTCAAGGTACGACACCTTTCTGCTGCCCCGCCCCGCCTCTCCCCGCCCCGCCTCGCATGACCCGGGGCACACGCATGATCTATCGATGACTGCGTCACGCATGACCCTGATCCTGCCTAATGCCATGCATGACCTGTAGGCATGTCAGCCTACAGCTACACATGACTGGGGCCGAGACCTGGTGCCGCCCTGCATGACATGTCTCACGGCAGCACTGTTGTTGATGAGTGTTGTGTTATGGTACACACTGTACCTGCACTGTGTTGTGACTAGTTAGTATTACAGTGTGTATTAGTAATGTGTACACTAGTTATTGTGTTGTGTGGTAGTGGTAGTAATGTGTGCCTACACTAGTTACATGTGGTAGTAAAGTGCACAGTAATTTATGTCGTAGGTTTATTACATAATACAACCACACTAAGGAATTGTCCCACCCCTCACCCCTCACATCACCCCTTCTCCCCTCTTGCCCCCTCACCTTATACACAAACAGACCTGACCCGTGTGTGTGTGGCCTTCTCTTGTATAACGTGACCTGTTCTTTTACACTGTGGCCATCGTACTCAGTCGACCTAACTAATACAAACATGCGGGAGCCTTAGTTAGGGGTGAGAAATAGGGAGATATACTGAATTATACTGAGAGATACTGAGGGTAGGTGAATTATACTGAGAGATACTGAGGGTAGGTGAATTATACTGAGAGATACTGAGGGTAGGTGAATTATACTGAGAGATACGGGGGTAGGTGAATTATACTGAGAGATACTGAGGGTAGGTGAATTATACTGAGAGATACTGAGGGTAGGTGAATTATACTGAGAGATACTGAGGGTAGGTGAATTATACTGAGTGGGGGTGGTGGTCTGAGAGATGCTGAGGGTAGGTGAATTCTGAGAGATACTGGGGTGGGTGATTATACTGGGATACTGGTGGGTGAATTATACTGGTGACTGGTGGAGTGAATTATACTGAGAGATACTGAGGTAGGTGAATTATACTGAGAGATACTGAGGGTAGGTGAATTATACTGAGAGATACTGAGGGGAGGTGATTATACTGAGAGATACTGAGGGTAGGTGGTTATAGAGATGCAGGGTAGGTGAATTATACTGAGTGATACTGAGGGTGTATGAATTATACTGAGTGATACTGAGGTAGGTGAATTATACTGAGATACTGAGGGTAGGTGAATTATACTGAGATACTGAGGGTAGGTGAATTATACTGAGATACTGGGGTAGGTGAATTATAGCAGAATACTGAGGGTAGGTGAATTATACTGAGAGATACTGAGGTTAGTGAATTATACTGAGAGATACTGAGGGTAGGTGAATTATACTGAGTGATACAGAGGTAATGTGAATTATACTGATGATACTGAGGGTAGGTGAATTATACTGAGATGACGAGGTAAGCGGGTATATACTGAGTGATACTGAGGGTAGGTGAATTATACTGAGATACGGTGGTGAATTATACGGAGATACTGAGGGTAGGAAAGATTATACTGAGAGTACTGAGGTGGGTGGATTATACTGAGATACTGAGGGTAGGTGAATTATACTGAGGTGGGGTGAATTATACTGAGAGATACTGAGGGTAGGTGAATTATACGAAGAGATACTGAGGGTAGGTGAATTATACTGAGAGATGGAATTATGGTAAGAGATACTGAATTTGTTTTACCAAGAGACAGACAAATGGAGAGAGAGAGAGAAGTAAGGGAGAGATAGTCAGTGCTCCTCCCTATTGTCAGAACACAATAGGCCCTACCCCCCGAGAGAGAGTGAGGGGGGCGTTAGAGAAAGCATTATCCTCTGGTCCAGTCAGTCCGCCTGGCATTGTGAGCTGTCAACCCTACCCCCACGCTTACATTCTCTCTCTCTCTCTCTCTCTCTCTCCTGTACACACTGATCCATCGCCCTCAAACTTTTATATTAGATGCCTGGCCCTCAGAGGTTAAGTGAGAGGTCAGAGGTCAAGGTCGAGTGCCGAGAGTGTGAGGTGGTGGCCCTGTAAACTGCATTCCTTGAGGCCTGCTGGTGAAAGTCAGTCAGTCAGTCAGTCAGTCCGTTAGTTAGTTGGTTTCTCTCAGTTAGTTTCTGTCAGTCAATTTGTTTCTGACAGTCAGTCAGTTAACTTGGATTCTGTCAGTCCGTCTGTCGTGATTTAGTCAGTAGGTCAGTCAAATTAGTCAGTTTGATTCAGTAAGTCAGCCAGTTAGTTTGTCTCTCTCAGTCACTTCTGCCAGTCACTTTGTTTCAGTCATTCAGTCAGTCAGTTTGTTTCTGTCAGTCAAAATATCCAGTTAAGGTAGAGTACAATATTGATGCCATATTCTTAAGGTATTTTTAGTGCTTTAAGTCAGCCAGTTCTTTCTTCTTTTCTTTCTTTTCTTTTAGTTCTTTCTTTCTTTCATTTATTCATTCTTTTTTCTTTCTTTCTCTACGCATGGAAATACGGGAATAGCTCCTTGATATGCGTTCAGTAGGTTGTGCATAATATGCGTATCAGACTAGTATTTACGCATTTAACTGTAAGTCTTGTGTGGGAATTCAGTGTGTCATTTACGCATTTGTGTTTATAAGGGGCCCAGATATGCGTTAGGTTATGCCATTATTATACGCATAGTTAGATATACGAGTCTATTGTTTACATGCGTTGTTCGTGCGTATCTTCGAGTAATATTTACGCATTTTCCTGCATTTAATCTACAGGCATGCGTAGGTCATTAGCACCCCAACATTATACATATACGCACCTGACCTTATTTAACACAGGTATGCGTAAGTTATGCGTAAAGCTTAACACCTACATTATACGCGCTGGGTTTCATTTAACGCACCTCCCACCGCTCGATACAGGACCGACACTCACTCACTCACGCACTCACGCACTCTTCACATGCGCCGCCCTCCCTTGCTCTCCACACAGAATCTGGACGACTGTGTAAATATTTGTCTGTTTTTCCAGCAAGATAGGCAAGCTAGTCTCCCACGCCACCTTAGGGAGTAGTAGGGCGTGGGGGAGAGGTACACGCCCTGCTCACCACGCCTTTAATACTCCCTCCACACCTCCCCTCAATCCTCTACCCCCACATACGCCTCTATCCCTCCACACACCCTCTATCCCCTACACGCCTCTACCCCCCCACGCCTCTGCCCCCCCCCCACACGCGCCTTCCCCACCACCCCCTGCCCCCCCACACGCTTCTACCCCCACACGCCTCTGCCCCCACACACGCCTTTACCCCCTAACACACCTCTGCCCCCACACACGCCTCTGCCCACACACGCCTCTGCCCCCCACACGCCTCTACCACCCACACACGCGCCTCTACCCCACACACCTATCCCACACACACGCCTCACCCACACGCCTCTACCCCCACCCCTTCTACCCCCACCCGCCTCTACCCCCACACACACGCCTCCATCCCCACACCACCCTTCATCCCACACACGCCTCCATCCCCACACGCCTCTACACCCCACACACACCTCTGCCCCCCACACACGCCTCTACCCCACACGCCTCTCCCTCCCACACACGCCTCTACACCCCCCACACACGCCTCTGCCCCCACACACACGCCTCCATCCCCCACACACACACCTCTACCCCACACCCTCTGCCCTCCCACACACGGCTCTGCCCCCCACACACACCTCACCCCACACACGCCTCTGCCCCCACACACGCTTCTACCCCACACACACGCCTCTACACTCCACACACGCCTCTGCCCCCCACACACACGCCTCCATCCCCCCACACGCTCCCTCCCCCCCTCCCTCACACGCATCTACCTGTACAAATGGCTTATCCCACGTACACAATGTAGCCTGAATTTAACTGGTTTCACCCTTGTTTTGACACACACACACACACACAGGTTAAGATCATTCCCTCATTACGAGTTAAAGGAGAAGATTAACTTAGGAATGTTTAAGAATTCATCTTTGTTTTATAGTCAGTTAATTTCCCTATAAAAATCCCCAGTATCCTAAAATTTCCTGAGAAATATTATTTACAAGAATTATCTCCAACCTTTTCCGGCGCCCAAAATTCCCCTAAACGATGAAATTCAAAATCATAGCTAGGAATTTCCCCAGAACTGTGTAATTTCGACACTCTTTCATAACATTAATTCCGCAGAAATGTTTGTAATGCATGAACGGCGGCAGGAAATTCCCCGAAGAAATCCAATTCTGCCCAGTTCTTCCCGGAGGCGTTTTTGTTTAGTAGTCTCTAGAAGATGTGTGATATATACAGGGTGATTCAGAATGTTAATACGACTTTAGTATGAGTAGGATTGGTTACGTTAGAGGTTGGTTAGGTTTATGTTCGAGTTAGGTTAACACATGTTATCTTGCCTTTCTCTTATTTGTATTCTATATTAACTTAAATTGTGTTATTTTACCTGTGTTATATCACCT